CACTTTTTTTTTTTTTTTTTTGTTAAATGTACTATATTATCATAAACTGGTAAATATAATTTGTTTATGTTATACTGGTAAATATATATGATATACTGCATATCTTATACCTTAGTATAATAAATAACCTTAGTCTTTAAATAAATAACCTTAATAATTTTAGAATTTATTGAGGTGACCGGAAAGTAATGTCGTTTTGGTGTATTTGATAGTTGTTATCAAGATTTTATTTTTCATCAATAATGTATTCACCCACGTTCGCAGCAACCTTTCAATGGCGGATCGAAAGTGAATCGAAATGGATCGAAAAAAAATGAATTGGTTTTTAAGATTGACGAATATTTAATGCGCCGAAACGACATTACTTTCCGGTCCCCCTAATGTTATTCGATTTAACAAAAAAGATGTATTTCACAGGAATAATTTTATTAAATGTTGGATCAAATTTGTTATATGTTTATGTCTAGCTGTGCTTTAAATATAGTTTTAAATATAATTCTAATTATAATACATCTAGAGTTAAAATGCAAGAAATTAAAAATGAGAACTAGGAAACAAAAATAATACTATTTCATAATAATAATTTTGAGTTATTTTCAGATATGAAAATAATATTCTGCAACAAAAATTCTGATGGTCTGATTATCTTTAAGTTTCCAGGAAAACAGTGTGATAATATAGTTTTGTAAAGCTTGAGTTTTGAGTTTCAAGCTTTATTTTTACAATTTATTCTTCTCCAACTGGCTTAACACTTGTTAACAAAATTTGATTAAATTTGACTTGGAATTTTTAATAAAAGTACTCCAATTAAGAGGTAGTTAGCTTAATTATAACCGATTCAATGAAACATATAAGAAAAAACTCTGATCTAACTATCCAAATCAAAACTGTTATTCTAGTATGTCTGTTTACCCGGATTTACTTAATGATTTGTTGATGACATTGATATGAGCATTGATTTTATAATTTTATCGACATTTTGAGCAGTTGCTATGTACACTGAGAAAAAGAAGTATAGTTAAAACTAATAGAACATGTTAAAATTTATTGTATTTCTGGCTTTATGGGAACACGAAAAAGATTGGTAATTTTTATGGAAGTGCTTTAGTAAAAATAACAATAAAATATGCTTTTTAACATGTGATAAATATGGTAAAAAATTTTAATTTCATCATGATACGTTAGATAAAGGAATAAAAACCATTTGTTCCGTTAAATTTACTTTTCCTTTTTGTATTTTTTACAAATGTGTGGTAATAAGTACTATAATTTTGAAACCCAGAATTACGAGTAAGCCCTTACCATATTAAATAGAAAAAAATAACTTACAGTTAAGTTTTATTTAACAGAATTATATTTTTTCCCTAGAAATTTTATTACCATACAGTGCGGTATACTTGAATATGGTACATTTTGTCGTGTTTCTAGTTCTACAAGAACATCAAAAACTTCAGTTATTTTCACCGAAATTCGTTGGTATTGATTTTGTTTAAATTAACCACAAAATATAGTATCATAATATGTGATGAAGTATAGTAAATGTGATGAAATTTGGCTAATTTGGCATAGCATAAAAAAAAAACATTTATTCGGTTAAATTTATTTTTCAGTTTTGTATATTTAACTAAATGTTTTGTAATAAGAGCTATCATTTTGAGAACTAGAATTTCTGGTAAATCTTTACAATCTGAGCAGAAAAATTACTAAATAATCAGAAAGGCTGTTGAATGCTGTTTATTTATACTCATTGTTCAGCATTGCTCCTCTTATAATCATTGGTTTAAGTACTGTTTTCCTTGGTTTTATTGTACCAGAATTATATTAGGGGGTTTCACCAGAAGTGTCTCTACCATACAATATGCTAATTTTACCAGAATTTTTTTCTCAGTGTATTATCAAAGGATGTTATAATTAATTCTAGCATATCATAACTTTAACTTAAGAATTCACTAGTTGTCTAACCAAACAAATTTAATTATATAACCAAAAGTGAATATTTTACACAAAAACTAAAATCATTTTGTTAGATAAAATATATAAGTAAATTTTATGTAAGGACATTTTAATAGGTTAATTGCAACAATAAGAATGATTATTTGGATTTTAAAAAAATCAACTGCATTTAAAATAATAATTTAAACTTAAGAATATAAATTGTGGGACTCCAATAAGATGAAATAAATTAAAGTAATTTTGCTCATTAATAAGACAGCATAACACTTCAAGTAACATATGGTTTTTATCACTCGTGAATAAGTTTTTTAAAAAAATGTCGTTATAAACGTTAAGACTGATGTCTGGTAGTAAATTCTCCCCCCCCCCTCTCTCTCTTTCTCTCTTTTATTTATTTTTTTTCCTGCTAGTTTCGACAGCAACGCAAACGCGAATTTATAATATAAAGACCTCGAGGGAGATAAATTTATTTTTTCACAAGAATTTATAAATAACAATTATTTAAAGCAAAACAAAATAATTAGGATGGTGTTTCTTTATTGCTTAGATGCCGAGGTAGCATTAAGGGCAATAAAACCGGTATTTGAGTCTTGTGTTAAACATTAGTTAGATAGAATTTCATTCAAGTATGAAAAAATTAAAGAAATTGTACTTAAGTAGATCTCATTGCACTTAAAATACTTTTACACAATCGGATAATTAAAAATTTAAACCTGAAAAAAACCTGAAAATTCAAAACTTTTTCTTTAACTATACGATCATTTTATAAAAATATTTTTTAAAAATTCCATACGTTTAACAGAACATACAATAAAAATTTCGAATAAAAATTTTTAGTAAGTCAAATGATAAATTAATTAATTATAAATTCTGCAACTAACAGATGTCTACTTTATACAAGATTTTTACATTAATCATTGTACATCTAAACATTGATAAAAAAATTTCAGATGCATTTTTTAAAATTTAGTTTAAAAAAATCAAAAAATAATTATATATGTTTTAATTTACGCTGGAGCGCAATAAAGTTTCCTAAAACTACATTATAATTATTTTCTTAGGACTATATTATAATTATTTTCTTAGGACTATATCATAATTATTTTCTTAAGACTATATTATAATTATTTTCTTAAGACTATTAGAATTATTTTCTTAAAACTATTAATATTGCTAGATCGCCACATATATCACTTTTATATTGTTCAGAATAAGTGTTAGAATACTTAACCGATCGAATAATTAATCGAAATTTTAACTGGTACCTCGAACCAGCTGGGTAAAAGATTCTATTTTCTCTGATTACCTAATGACCGAACCTGGCAAAATTTTAGTGCCCCGTACATCTCTAGTTTGTAGCTTCTGATTTATTTCTTGTTTTGAAATTCGCTTTTATTTTTATTAAGCTTCAAAATTAACAACTAAATTTTTCAACAAATAGTGAAACTGACTGGAAAAAAAACGAATAAAAATATTTTCCGTTGCAATTCAGACCGTTTTAACTTAAATATTCGCACCGACGTTAATTTCGTTCACAGACTGCACGTTAGCAACAAACGGCAGTTTTTTTTTTAACATTGTCTCTAAGTTTTTCTTCAATCTGTTTAGAATGTTTGTAACTTAATTTTTAAGTTGGTGAGAAAAAAAATTCTGGTTTCCTAAACAGAAAGTGGCTTTTGTTTTTCTTTTCTTGGTTTTTCAAATTGTCAGTCATTTTGGGGTCACCAAATAATTACGTCTTTCTCTCATGTATTCTAATTGGTTGGAAAAGTTCTCAGTAATCAATTTTTCTAAACATGATCTGTTACAATTTAAAAGCTTTCACTCTATTCAATTTGATAATTAAAGCATTCACTTCCAGTGGTATCAGATGCTGAAAGAATGCAAGAGTGGATCCTGATACTCATCTTATTGGGTGTGGTCATAGGAGTTTAACAAATAATAAAATGGCTTCTAACGTCTAATAAATAATTACGTCTTTTTCTCAGGTATTCTTATTGGTTGGAAAAGTTTTCAATAATCAATTGTTCTAAGCATGATCTGTTATAATTTAAAATCTTTCACTCTATTCAATTTGATAATTAAAGCATTCACTTCCAGCGGTATCAGATGCTGAAAGAATGCAAGAGTGGATCCTGATACTCACCCTATTGGGTGTAATCATTGGCGTTTAACAAATAATAAAATGATGTCGAACGTCTAATAAATAATTAAGTCTTTCTCTCTGGTATTCTAATTGGTAGGAAAAGTTCTCAATAATAAATTGTTCTAAACATGATCTGTTACAATTTAAAATCTTTCACTCTATTCAATTTGATAATTAAAGCATTCACTTCCAGCGGTATCAGATGCTGAAAGAATGCAAGAGTGGATCCTGATACTCACCCTATTGGGTGTAATCATTGACGTTTAACAAATAATAAAATGGCGTCTATCGTCTAATAAATAATTACGTCTTTCTCTCAGGTATTCTAATTGGTAGGAAAAGTTCTCAATAATCAATTGTTCTAAATATGAACTGTTACAATTTAAAATCTTTCAATCTATTCAATTTGATTAGTAAAGCATTCACTTCCAGTGGTGTCAGATGCTGAAAGAATGCAAGAGTGGATCCTGATACTCACCCTATTGGGTGTGATCATTGGCCTCATATTCACCTTGGTAGCTCTCTGGAAATTAGTGGGTGGATGGTCACGTATTCATTCCTGGGTGAAAGGAGACAGGGAAGAAACAGCTCAACTCACAAAAAATGGTCACTTCGGAGCTACTGAATACATAGTGAGTTTTTAAAAAAAGATCATCTTACCTTAGAATAATACGTTTACTTTATTTAGAACAATGTTGTTGTAGAATGTGTATTAACAATGATCAAAAGTATTTGTATAAAGTACAGGCAATAGTATTAACTATAACACAATCCGCCGAAAATCCAATTATAATTATTCTACTTTTGTGAAATTTGGGAGAAAGGAATTGTACTTTAAAAGATTTTTGGTGTTCCAAAATGAGCCATCGATATCCATAGTATATGTCGACATATAGATACAAATTTTACCATCGATATGCATATTATAAGTCGATATTTAGATGAAAATTTGCCATCGATATGCACATTATATGTCGATAAATAGATGCAAATTTTGCCATCGATATACAGTGTGTTTTGTAGTAAACACCTTTGATAAACAATCATATCCACAAGTTAGGAAATGAAAACATTTGCACGAAGAACTAAACAAATAGGCGACCAAATCAATCGGAATTCCTTTTGAAATGACTCATTATGACAAAAAGTATGACATATATTATAGTAGCAAAAAAGTAATGGTGTGTATTCGGAATCATGACTTAATGAGAAACATAACAGGATAGTTAAAAGGTGATTTTAAAAAAATGGTATTTATAATAATGAGTATGATACCCCTTCGACTGAATTGAAGTTCTCATAAGCTGTTCTTTCATGCTATTTACGAGGCAGAAAAATGTTCGGATAATAAATCTAGGATCTTAGAACATTAATCCCACTGCCCCATAAGCAGTTCTTATCTCCAAGAAGTTTGTAGGAGTGGGATGGTGAGCTCTAATAGCCCTACCAAGAGCATTCATAACATAATCTATGGGATTCAGGTCTGGAGATCTGTCGAACCTCTTTATCTTCTAAATGCGGTCACCAAATACCTGAATATCGCATCAACACCACGCTTGACCTAATCATAACATCTGAACCTCCATAATGGGTCATTTCCATTTTGGAGCTATGGTACCAGTTCTCTATTCTCTTCATGCAAGAACAAGTCGAGAATTATTATTAAGACTGAATCTAGATTCATTAATAGAAGCAAGATAAACCCACTACACTTGCGTCCAAAGAAAATCTTTCTGCGCCAATTCAGGCTGATTCTTTTTTTAACGTAGAAAGGCACCCTGAATTCTCTGAGGCATAAAGCTGAAACCTTTGAGTCATATGTCAGATTGTTCAAAAGCGCCATCGGAAACCTGTAAGAATGACAAGAAGCATGTACACAGAACTGGTTGGTCGTTAAATATCTTGAAGCCGAAAACATTTAGAAGATGATGATAACAGCCCAAACTCCAGTGTTTAACCATGGAACTTGTTTAATATACTCTTGGCAGAGTAATTAAGCTCTCAACCTCCCTGCCGGATATCTCCCAGGTTAGAAAATGTCCAAATGAAGTAATAAGGTTACACCACAGCATTTGCTATCATCTTACACAGAAAGTTCGTTGAAACCTGCATTGCAGTCAAAGGTGTTATTGCAGTGTGTCATTGCAAAGGTGCATTGCAGTCAAAGGTAGAAAGCTAGTGTAAAAAACCCTCGAAACAAGTTTGATTGCTAAATGAAACCTGATGGTGTGATGGTGTTTAAAATAAATCGCCTCTGTTTCTTCTTGGAACTTCTTTCCTCTCTGAAACGAAGAATATAAAAATAAAAAGTCTCACTCTCCGAATACGCTCCTCGCGGAAAACTTTTAAATGCCGGATGGTTTAAATGCCGGAAAAAATAACTTAAGGCCTGGTTTCTCATGACAGGTCGGCGTTGCAAAAACGTCAGCTGGAAGCTAACGCTAACCTCTGATTGGTCAATTATAGAGTTTGACAGCATACTTCATCGAACGCTCAGCTTGAACGACAACTGCCGTCCAAATCAACTGAAGTTGGATTACAACGTGACGTTAACGACAGAAGCAATGGCGGACAACAGCCAACAGATCATTGAAATCAGCCAAGATTTTGATTTTAACATTAAACATAGCTTCTTCTTCCTCTTATTCTTATTCATTTAGCTAAGCTATAATGTGTTTTTTCTTCGACAAAGACATTATTTGTTCTCTAAAGCACTGGTCGACAATAACAAAATCAATACTAATTTAAAATAAATATTTGTTTACGTTATTAACGCATGCGCAATGCGAGATAATGTCTGCGTTGGACCGACTGCTCAAGCTGAGCTAACAAGACAGTATTTTTTGTTGGCGTGTAACGTCCACTTAACGCTGACGCCCAGATAAGGCGCTTGTCCTAAGAAACCAGGCCCTTACTCAATTTTAACAGAGCACCATATGTACTGAAATTCACGCTTACGTTACGTACTTACGTTATGTGACAGTCAAGAGCTAATTCACTTGAACCTATTCTTAGTCGGGTACGCTGCCTCCTGATATTACAGTCTATTTTTTTCTCTCTCAAAACATCCTGCCAGATATAATCAACATGGATAATACACATGAAATTTTTTTAAGAAATATCTTAATAAATAGTGCAAAAATAAAACACAGACCAACCATAAATAAAAAGAGAAAACATTCCTTTTCCTCCCCAACCCTAGTAGTGGTTAGGAGAGAGGTGGGTGTAAACCCTTTTCAAAAACTACTGTGCCCCTAAATGTTGCTATTTCTATTATATGAAGGGATCGTACCAAAGGATAAAGAACGGGTTTATATTATGTCTATGGAAGCTAACCTTTTAACCCCCAATAATATTAATCGACAAAAATATTAATTTGCGTCGCCCAATGTGAATACAAGCTTACTTTATTTATGACAAAGACTGTAAACTGATATATTAAGTTCGGAAATAACGGAACACTCTGTGCAATAATTAAAACTCAATTAAAAATGTCAATTTAAAATTATTTGATATCTTTCGCCGTTAACTATGTTTAATGTATTTTTATTTAATTCAGAGTTCTGAGTCTGATATTGCTCTAGACTTAAGTGGAAACTACAAGCACTACGATAACGTAGGCAACGACTTGAAGTTAGTTACTGGCTGTGACGATAAGGAAACAACCAATCATATCATTTCTTCTCCTTCGCCCACTTCCAAAACTAATGGAAGCATTCCTCTCCAAGTAGATACAAACGAAGAAAGGGATCCTGAAGATATTCTATGTAAGTTCACCTGATGTAATTTTGATTAATTTTACGAATAGCAAAGTGTTCTCTAACCATCACTGTTACTATGTCTTAAACTATCGTTAAAATTGAAATCAATAATTTAGAAATCTCAAGTGATTTTTTTAAAAGTTAAATAAAATAAAGTATTTTCAGAATCAAACTCATCATTGTCACGATCAAAAGTCAAATGCACTTAACAAATAAAACTCAATTATAAGATTATATGGGATTGCTACGAGAACTCAAACAGTAGTTGTCGTTATTTGTTTTTAAATAAAAGAAAATGCGCATTTTGTATTTAAAACCCGTATGGCTGTTTATTACGAGAATTGTCTCGTAATTGGTTTCATTCCATTCAGCTAAAATATACATCATATCAATGCCCATTGCTCTTTGTTAATTACGAGACCAATAAAGAGACAATTATGGGTCTAATTGTCTCGTAATTGGTCTCTTTCCATTCAGCCAAAAAATACATTATATCCATACCCATTGCTTTATGTTAATTACGAGACCAATTACGAGACAACAATGGTCTAATTGTCTCGTAATTGGTCTCATTCCATTCAGCTAAAAAAATGCATCATATCAATGTATCATTTGCCTGTATAAAAGATATTCAATTCTCCTTCCTTCAAATTATCTCCTGTTTCTTAAGAAAAAATTTTAAAAAATTTTTTAAAAAAAGTTGAAACGTTTAGGAGAGAGTAAGAGATATTTCACCTTTATTTTACAATGGCATAACAACGTTTTTTATGAAAAAAAATCTTAAATATTAACTTTTCCGAAGAAAATGTCCACTTTTACTAGATTATAAGTACAAAACTGAGCATTTTATACTTACGAAACCTTTATAACTTATTAGTTTTATCGGTTCGAGATTTGCTTCATTTAATTTGCCTAGAAAAATCGCCTCCTTGAATATACTGTATAAGTTCAAATAGTCCCTGGATAGCATTTTAAAAAGTGTACATAAGACATGTCGAAAATCTTATAATTTATACGTGAGATCGAAAGTTCGAATCCAGCTAACCGAAGACTCGTCGTGTATTAAATTATGACTGGGACACGTTAAATCTGTCGGGATCACAAAGTCCTTCGCATTCCCTTAACAAATTAATACTTCTATGGGTAATGATCCAGGAGTAATGATCCTTGTCTTCTGAATTGGGTTCAAAATTACAAGGTCACGGAGTTGAACATTGGTTGTCGTAAACTCAGATATGGATCGGATGCTCAACTATGGTTGCAAATTATAAATAAAAGAGGAAGCATTTAAAGGGGAATTTCCGAGTATCATTTATACAACTATTTACAAAGCTTTCGATAATATACTTTTGGGTATTATTTTTTTCCAAAAAAACAGTCTAATTTTACTAGACTAAAATATTATTTGGTATTTACAGGGAGCGTAGCGTTTTCAAAAAGTGCTTAAAGGTGCTTATTTTCGATTTTCGTTTTTTAAAAGCCCTTAAAGGTGCTTTTTTCATTGGGTGTTTTTTAAAAAATGCTTAATTTTCCCTTTTTCAAAACGAGATTTTTCCTTTACTATGTTGATTTTCGCTTCGAACTATGCAAAAAGACGCAGTTCACGTTGTTCTATACAAAGTTTTCACAATTAATTCAACCCCAATCTATTTCCGCGTATTGTCAGTCCGTAGCGTATGAAAACGCTATTCGTTTTGCATGATTCAAAATTTTATGATTTTTGGCAATTGTCAAAAATAATGCCAAAAATAATGCAAATTTTTTTTTTTGATATGATGGTTAAAATAAGATAAAACCCTCAATTGTTAAAAAACTATCCAACCCTGCCTAATTATGATATTTTTTTTAAAGTGATTAAAAATATTTTTTGAGTGCTTGAAAAGTGCATAAAAGGTGCTTATTTTTTGTTGAATAATTTAGCTACGCACACTGATCTATGATTGGGACCCAATAAGTGTTGCCAACTTAGATAGCATAATACATATATGCATAGAATATCTAAATTATGTATACTATTACATCATTCCATCAAATGTTTGTTATTATACCATTATAAATTTTCAGAATTTATTTTAACCGTTTTAAATTTTACAGTTTTTGAAAAACCCAATAATACTACAATGAAGAGGGCAGTCTCGTGCAACAGCATAGTTTCCAATTCATCTGTTGCCCCAGAAGCATTAGAGTCTCCTCATCACTGTGGTGAAGTAGAATTAGGATTAGAATACGACAGGTAAAACCAATATAAGCTACCATACTATAAACAGAATATGAGTACATATAATAAATCAATGATGACGTTATCAGACGATATGAACACGAAAGACGCATTAGCTTTAAATTATGCAGACTAGTATCTAATGGTTTAATGTATAAGTTGAGTTTGATTTAAAGGAAATAAACTGTAAGCGACGTATTAAATTTTGCACCTTAACACTAGATTGCCTAAAGGAAGTCATTTTGACTGCTTTTTAATTTCAATTAAGAAAACAATGATGACACAATTTCTTAGAATTTTGTGACTTTTTGTACAACATATAATTTTTTTATTGTTAATATTTACTAATAATTTGTTATATAACTGAAAATAATATCAAAAATATTAAAAATGACTGCTTTTGGGCAATATAGGTATTTCAGTCTTTCTAATGTTAATGTAAAGTACGCAACTATTTCTTCGTAAAAATTTTAATATACAGCAGAAATCTCATTTTATGTTAAAATTATGCTCTAATCCAACTCAACATAATATTCAAGCAACTCCAAATGTCATTTTAAAAAAAAATCAGGAATAATGAACCTCGAACAAAAATTTTTAACTAATTTTTAAAAATTACATTCAATATTTTTATTTATTGCTGCAGTTGTTGTAGAACGTTGTGATAATTTTTCATTATATATTATACAAAACTCAATTATGTTTGCTAACAACTATGAAATGGGTATGGACGGAAATTAAAGCGTGCACTGAAAAAAAAAAATGGAATATGAATAGAATATGGAGAAAATATGAATAGAATATGGAAAAATTTACCGCGCTTCTGGGTCCATGGGAACACCAAAGAGCTCGGTTAATCTAAAATCCGTTACCATATGAACTGAAAATTACCTGATGAATGGTTTAAATACCGTCATTTTTTTAAAACCAGAATTGTGGCTTTTTTTTTTTACCAAAAATGTCATTAGCATATAGTTCGGTACTTTCACCAGAATTTCCTTCTCTGTGTTCTATTTTTTTTTTTTTTTGGTCGTATGCCTGTTTAGGCAGTGGGTGTGCGATTGTTCCTGTTTTTCAATGGCGCCATCTATGGCCAGAAATTCGACTTCTGCCACGCCATTCACACAATCACAACCCGCTTATAGGGCTGGTCACATTCACACACAAAGGAGAAAGGACATAGAACACACAGAGAGAGAAAGAAACATCCATGCCTTGCCCGGGATTCGAACCCAGGACCTTTCTGATGCAAGGACAGTTCCCTG